ATCAGAAAAAAAGAGGAAGATCCTTACACTCGTGCTCTGCCGAGGTAACCTGAGGCACCCCCCATAGCTGGGTACAAAATAAAGCAGAAGAGTGAATCCAAAAGCACTAAGATACAGCAGGTGTCATTGGGAGGATGAGCCCCGAGAACAATGCAAAGCACACAGAACCACTTAAGCAAAGGGCTTTGAAATTACTTGTGCAGAAATAGAACATCCTTTGATTTAAACCAGAAGTATTTAAGTGCTAGCACAAGACGATGTATTTTAGAAAATGAGTTAAGGCAGCCGTTCTCAACTTCAGCACATATCAGAATCACCTGAAGTATTTGTTAACACAAGGACTGTGGGATCCATCAGGAGTTTCTCTGACTTCGTAGTTCAGGAATGAGGTCCAAGAATTTGCATTTCTAACAAGTTCTCGAGTTGTGCTGATGCTGCTTTGAGAACTCCCCTTTGAAAACCACTGATAGAGAATACGAGACTTTCTTCTTTAATGAAAACTCTGAAAAACAGAGAAGTAAACAAAGGAATTCTCTCCATATGACACAATGGAAGCCAAAGGGTGAGCCCTAAGTGGACTGACTTACACAGAGCCACGTCTTAAATCACTTGCTTGTCAGTTACCGATCTCTCTGTTATTTCATTTTTTTAAGTGTTTTATTTATTTCTGAGAGAGAGAGAGACAGCGTGAGGAGGGGAGGGTCAGAGAGAGAGACACACACAGAATCTGAAGCAGGCTCCAGGCTCTGAGCTGGCTGTCAGCACAGAGCCCGACGTGGGGCTCAAATCCACGAACTGTGAGATCATGACCTGAGCCGAAGTCGGACGCTCAACCGACTGAGTCACCCAGGCACCCTTCTCACTACTATTTCAAACCTGATTTTTTACAAGAATAACTAAGTTCTGGACTCTGTTTTTCTCAGAATAGAAGACCTTCCTAAAATCACAAATTCACTCATGCTTTATAATAATTGGTATTATTATCTAACTCAGTCTAAAATGTGGAAGCAACCTGTAACTCTGTGCCTTGTTTTATGGGTTGGTTGATATTATTCCCTTAAAAGTTTTCCTTAAAATTCAGGCTTTTTGTTTGTGGGTAGGATTTCTGTTTGTTTGTGTTAGTTTGTTGGTTGGTTGATCTGCATTAGGTTACTACATTGAAGCACTTTTAAAATGTACAAAGAGATTTCTGTTTAAAGGTATCTTACAGAAAAGCCTGTCTACTGTGAAGGATTATTACACACAAATTTATCTCTCTAATAAACTAGATTATCATGCACCAGTTTGGTAAAAGGAAACTTGTCAACACATTGCTCCAAAGATTTCAGTTTGGGAAATTACTTTCACCTTTTTATTTCTCTCTTGAGGTAATTCTCCTACTTCAACTTAGCCTCACAAGTAAAACCTTCACATGTGTTACTTTTAATTTCTTTTCATCCTTGAGAAAATGAAAAGTATCAAGAGATTCTTCCTTCAGAGTGAAGGGCTTGTTTGAAACTCCAATGCTCCAAGCAATGCCCTAAGTAGGTCAAATTTCCAAGCTGTAATTTCGGCAGACAAATTTGTCTGATTCCCCAAGACAATAAAAGAGGATACTTATTGCAAGGGTGTTTCAGCTGTCGAATCTCAACCTTCAAAGTTTTTGTGGTCTAGCCCAACGCATCCCAACTGTCCGTGACATGCTAACAGTAGCTTGAGCGTGGACGCTCATTCCAAAATTCCAACCTATCGTTGAGGTGTCTGGCTGGCCCAGTCAGTAGAGCATGCAAATTTTGATCTCAGAGTTGAGAGTTCAAGTTCCGTGCTGGTATACAGATTACTCAAAAATAAAATCTAACAAAAAAGATCCCAACTATGCTCATATATGTCTCCATTCCGAATATCTTCTGTCCTCCAATTCATGTTGGATCCTTCTATCTTCAAATCCACATCTACAAGATCTTCCCCAAACACTTCATCTGACAATGCTCTCTTCGTTTTCTCCATCCCTCCTAAATTTACTTTTTATATGCATCATTATGGTACATTCTATCTCGTGAAAGAATTTAACTGTTCCATAGTCTGTTTTGTATTCCTAGCAATAGAATCAGTTCTTAGATGTGAAGAAGTATGCCTCACCTGGCACAACCATAGTTACTCAGCACATGATTCTCCAATATTCTATGTACAGGTTATTAATCTCTGCCAGTGCTAGTCCTCATACTTAAGTCCAATTAACCCACAGATGTTCTCCATGAAGTGGTTCATCTCAGAAACTTAGATTTTCTTGAGATTCCTTCCCCTAGCGAGAAACATATGGGCCATTTCCTTGCCGTGGCAGGAAAACCGAGTACCAACATGGAGTAACTCTGTCTTGCCTTCTCTGTGAGATCAATTTCTATCCAAGTCTCCACTGAAAACATTTTGTGCCCCAAATAATTGAAAGTTTCTATGGTGACACAACAAAGGGCTCCAATATCCTACAGTGGGTATTACATCTCTTCGTACACAGAGCAGTGTTAAGTATGATGTTTACTAGGATAAAACATCCCAACAGAGAAAAGCAATTCCCAAACATAGTATCACCTAGTACAATGGTTAAGAGTTTGGGCTTTAGAATCAGAGATGTGTGATTTGAAGAGTTTCTGCCTTTTACTGGCGGTCTGACTTTGGACTAGTTATAATCTATCCTTGGATGCCAAGTGTGAAAATGGGATCAGAATGACCCCCGCACAGGCTGCTTTAAATAATCAATTTAGATGATGTCGGTAAAGAACTTAGCAACATCTGGTACAAAAGAAGCATTTAATAAGTTGTGGTTGTTAAGTGTTATTAATGCGACTTTAATCAGGTGAACTATAGCTCACAAATACGGACCACTGAGGCACAAAGAAAGCATGGAAGCCAAGTAGCTAAATATAGGCATTGGTCTCGATGGATTTGGCTGTTACTCACAAGCCACTAAGTGGCCCTGTCCTAGAGGCAACCAGAAATCCTGGTGGCTTTCGAAAGACAAAATAGCCCTACGAGGGAGACGGAGAGATTCGCCCACACAGTAGACTGCTGAGCAAATATGGCATCAATGAATGGCTTAAAGTATATCTCCTACAGGACTCATAGCAACAGCTTTCATTTTCTTCTATTTTTCCTTTTAATTCTTTTCCTCGCCTGATTTGCTCTTTCCCCTTCTATCAGTAGCCCTAATCAATGCAGCAGGTCAGGTTGAAAGAATGGACAGCCTCAGAGCCACATACATTTAAACCACTTTAATGCAAATATTGATCGTAGGAGCATAGACACAGGGTGGGCTGTGTTTTTTTTTTAATGGATGTGCTTTTTTTTCTGGAGCTGTGCTATCCATGATAAAACAGATCACCATAGATCAGCATCCACCATCTTTCTGCACACAGAAATGCAGAAGTAAATCCAAAAGTGGGGCTCCATGCAATGCTAAGCTTGTGAGCCTCCAAAGTGGGTGTTTCAATAGTCTGCTGGACTATATTTTCTTAACCATTTACGCTTCTCTTCTCATACTTGCTAGATAAGCTATTTTGGTGTACACAGACATAGATTATCAGCGTGGGTGTGGTACCTTGTGTCACAAGCATGGTTGTGCAACAATGTCCACTATAGTAAGACACTTAATTCCAGCGTACACAAGATTATCAAAATATCGTATTAGATAGCCACTGTCCAAGGCAGATTTAGCAACAGAGTTCAAGTCTGCGTTGAAATCCTAACTGAGAGATCAAGGGCAGGAAAGAATTCTAAGGGCCACTTTGAAATTTGATACTAAAAAGATCTGATATTCTATCTGTAGGCATTTTTAGGTTGGACTGGAGGGGGGGAAAAGGGAATGAAAGAAAGAAAAAGAAAACCTGCTTGTACAAAGAAAGCCTGCTTGGCTTATTGCCAAGAGAGGAGGCGTCACAAACTGGGTAGTTTGAAAGCAACACAAACCAAGCTAAAACCAAAGAAAGGAAGGGGGGAAAAACTCAACTTAAAAGCCCCAAAGGAACACCAGTTGCTTCAAAGCATTACTAGTTGCTTTCAGATGTTTTTAATTCTATTTTCTCCGATGGGTCTGTAGCTGCTGTTGTTGTGGCCTGTTACAACTGCAAAGAAAAAGACAAAGCAGCGACATTCCGCCACATTAGCGAGATGGCTGTGGGGATGGAAACATAAGTAAGGCCATCGCAACCCTCGCCACCACAAGAAGCTTTCCTGCTGCTTTTGCAGAGCTCAGCCGGCCACTGCATCTTTACGCGAAAGGGTAAATGTCATCATAGAGAGGCACTAGCAAGATGTGTACACGAGGTGGACAGAATGTTCACTGTGGGCTTATCAGCCCTAAAAGCCGCAGATAACTGTAGGTGAAGGGGAAACCGAACGGTATGCAAAGTGGGAGGGAAGCAAGGCGGAATGAAGCCTTTGACCTTGGAAGAGCTGAGTACTAGACGCGGAGGGGGAGGGGGGGGGAGAACGGAATGAGGAATTCCTTGCTGTAATATATTCGGGTAAAAATGGGGCTGTCATCTTGAGCTACAAGTTAGAAAGTTATTACTTTTAATATGCCACTACCTTAGGCCTATACTGTTATGTAAAAGAAAAATAACCTTGTGTGACAGTTTAACATTGATCGATGTGCCTGCCAAATGCAAAGAGATAAATAAGCAGGTGATGAATAAACAGCACTTCAAGTAAAGACATTACGCTGCATGCATAAAACGGCGCCAGGCACCTAGGAGCTGTGGGTGGCCGAAGGTTGGCCATTTCATGCCCACTCAGTAAAGCAGACTTAATCGCTTCCAATATTTTCTGTTAAAAAGCAAGCTTAATGAGCCAATTTCACAAGCCCAGAGAAACTGATTATTATCTCTGAGTTCCAACAGAGTTGGTTGTTTTCCAAGAGCCAGTTTTTTTTTTTCTTTGACTGGATAAAAACCTTTTTAAAAAAGAGAGAGAGAGAGAATGAGAGAGAGCGCGCGAGCGAGAGAGAGCGAGGGAGGAAGAGAGGGAGCGACAGAGGCAGCCAGAGGGCAGGGAGTGCGGGCTCGCGGGGTCGGCGCGGCCACTAGATGGCAGTGTTACCCCGCCGTCAGCGCCCCGGCCGCGGCTCGCGACCGACTGGACAGGGCGATTGGCTCAAAGATGGGACGGTAAATACAGCTGAAAGCAGCTTCCTGAAGAGTTCATACCCTACCCTCCGCCCTCCTCGGACCCTTTGTCCACAATTATTCCATCCTCCAGCCCGTACGAGGCGCAGAGACAAAAGGGGCAGCCCCCGAATGGCCTCCCTCCTGCTAAGAGCCCAGGGCTCTGATTATTCTTCTGTGCAGCCGTGTTTCACAAAGTACCGGCGGCTTTTCTACCCGGTTAGAGCGAGTTCTTCCGGGTGTTTTTGTACCCTTAGGGGCTTGCAATCTCTGTATCCCTCACAGGGCTAAGCACGTGGCCACCCTAGGGGCTGAAAACCTCTGGAGGATGTAGCAATGTAGCTTTTCACCATTTACTTTTTCCCTGCCTCTTTCTCTTGCACTCTTTTTTGCACCTCTAATTAAAAAATGACTGAAAGGAATTTACCCTCAAAGGTATAAAGTTCTCAGTGAGAAGATTCGGAGTAGAGGCGGGGAAAGAGTTTCCCCTTAGGAAGCCAGGTGTCCTTCAGGGGCCGGGAGTGTGCATCTTCCTTCAGCTACACAACACGGTGAAAAATACAGAAGCACGGGGTAATTTTCACCAACTGCAGTTTTTCAATCGCCACTAGCAGAGAAGACCCAGCAACTAGACCTCAGCATATAATTAACTCCGATATTAAAAACAAAACAAAAAATTTAAATGAACTGCTGTTAGGTTCTAAATTGAGATGCACGTTAATTATTTATGAATATTCATAGGAAACTTGAACAATTTCCAAACTTGGCCTTTAGTTTCTCGTCAGTTAACCAAATAATTGATGTGTGGGTTTTTTCTTTTTCTGCAGGATAAATTTTTGTACATGTGCAACAGAGCTATCAAATTTATTAAGATTTTTGAGATTCGTTTTTGTCTTCTGATGAATCAAAAGGGAATAGACTTGGTTATGGAGAAAAAATAATTTTTCGTCTCTTGTCTCTTGCTGCTAGTTGCCTGTAAAGGAAGAATGAAATGACACTCAGTGAAGATTGGTCAGTCATGGGAAAGAAAATTGGGATATTTGAGGAATTTTCAGAAGAAGCAGATTAAAATTTAACTTTGTGTATGTGAATGGTGAAGTAGAGGAAGGAAGGGCAGCGGGAAATGTTTGGGGGGTGAAAAGTGGGCACAGAAATGAAACCAGTAAGACTAAAAAGGTGCCCAACACCCAAGAACTTATTATAGGTAATTATAATCATGGCCACTATTCTTATTCAATCACTCTGAACAAAAATCCCCTAGCTATCCCTGAGTTTCACTTCAACATTCTAAATATTTTTTTAATTTATTTATTGTTGAGACAGACAGAGTGAGAGAGAGAGAGAGAAAGAGAGAGAGAGAGAACACAAATGAGGGAGGGGCAGAGAGAGAGAGAGGGGGACACAGAATCTGAAACGGGTCAGCACAGAGCCTGACATGGGGCCCTAACTCAAGAACCATGAGATCATGACCTGAGCTGAGGCTGGACGCTTAACCGACTGAGACCCTTCACTTCAACATTCTTGCCTCTGCCTCACCTTCCTCACCAAGGGTCCCTGCCCACTGCCCAGATTTAAACCTCTTCCAACCCACTGCCACAGGGCCAGCTCTCTGTCTCTGAAGAGCTAGCTCACCAACCAGAAGAACCCGTCTCTGCTGAAATATTAACCAGCAGCCACACTGGATTTTCCATTGACTTCAGAACTCTGTGCCTGAATTGTAACCAGGTATTCATTAGGGCTGCTCAAAAGAAAAGTATCATGAATACCCCTGATGCCTCGGTTAAGTCTTCCATTACAAACAAAATGCAGCAAAACAAAATACAAGAATGAAAAGGTACGCCTGATAACCAACATCAGAAATCTGTCATTTCAGTGATTCAATCAACCAACAAAAATCGTCTCCTGTTCTATGCTTGGCACTGTGTCGGTGCTAGAGACAGACAGCCGACATTCATGTATTGCTTTCAAGGAGCTCACTGGCTGGTGGTTTCAACACAGTGAGAGAACAGAGAAGCTGGTGGTGCCCACAGGTGCCTCCCCCTCCAGATCCGGCGAGGTCCTGAAGGCTACTGTAATTGGGAGTGGGCTCAGGGCTCAGGGGATAATTAGTTTCCTAGGGCTGTCCTAACAAGTTACCACAAACCGGTTAGCTTTAAAGGACAGCAATTCATTCTCTCACAGTTCTGGAGTCTAGCAGTCTGAATTCAAGGTGTTGCCGGAGCTGGTGCCTTCTATCCGCCAGGGAGAAGAAAACATCCGTGTGTCTTTCCTAGCTTCTGGTATTACAACCATCTTTGACATCCCATAGCTTGTAGACAGAATACCCCAATCTCTGCTTCTGTCTTGATGAGGACTTCTTCCTGGTGTTCCTTCTCTTTTTCTTATAAAGGCATCAGTCATATTGGATTTAGCCTTCCTCTTCGCTAATTACACCTGCAAAGACCCTATTTCTTAAGATAACATTCTGAGGTGCCTGATGAACATAACTTTGGGGAGGAGGGGATACTATTCAACCCAATGCAGAGGGCATTTTAGGCAAGGAATTCAGAGAAGAGAAAGCCTCCTCTAAGAGTTGCAACTTGTTCCTTGCAGCTTCAGAGTAAGATGCAAAAGAAGTATGGGAAAAGTTGGATTGGAAAAGGAGGCTGAAACACATCAAAAAAAAAAAAATCTTACATGGGACTTTAAGGAGTTTGGATATTGCACTGAAAGGTGGTTAAAAAAGGTGGTTTTGGGCGCACCTGGGTGGCTCATCAGTTGAGCGCCTCACTTCGGCTCAGGTCATGGTCTCACGGTTCTTGAGCTCAAGCCCCCCATCGGGCTGGCTGCTGCCAGCATGCAGCCGCCTTTCGGATCTTCTGACCCCCTCTCTTTGCCCCTATCCTGCTTGTGCTTTTTCTTTTTTAAAAATAAGAAATAAACAATTTTAGTAGGGTTTTAAGCAAGTAAATGTTAAGAATACATTTTGCTAGGAATATAGATATTTGGAAAGTAGTCAAATTGGAGGCAGGTGTATTAGTTAGGGTGGTGTTGCAGTAATTCAAGATGAGACTCTAACAACACTGCCTCTGAGGATGAAAGGAGAAATATATTTGGATTTTTAAATAATAAATTATAATTTTCAGAACTTTAAGTGGGCAGAATTAACAAAATATATATTGTTGAAGAGTAATGATGTGGGAAGCTGACAAGGGTCCCATCCTTGACCAAGAATTCTGGCCTAAGCTATGAAGTTAATCATCAAATCATTATGCAAGGTCAGAAATAGATTTTTAAGAAGAAACAGACTTGAAGACTAGAACACATTGGAAAGTGGTTCAATTCTGTGTATGACGTGTGTGTGTGTGTGTGTGTGTGTGTGTGTGCGTGTGCGTGTGTGTGTGTTGGTATATGCATAAGAGAGGTGGGATTTCTACTGTGTCATATTCATGTAAAACACCAATACTTAATTTATACCTAAGGTGAGACTTTCACCTCTTTCCAAGATCTCTAAATAATGAAGATACAGCCACAGACAGCAACTTGACCCACTAAAGAGATGTGAAGAGGGAGAAAAATGGCAGTATTTCCACTTCAGACAGAACACTTCATTAAAAACAATCCTCAATAAATATTGAAACAAAGGTACTTTTCCCTCATTTATCACCAACCCACTCACCTTTTACTCATTGATATGTTCAATGACCAGTGTGTTTGCAGTACTTATAAGTACTCATGCTCTTTCTTAAGTGGTCAGGAAGATGATCACAGAACAAGATCTTCAACTGCAATAAATAGAACACTACACATTTAATACACACCAGCAAAATGGGCTGTAGTATTTAGTCAAACAAAACCAAAATTCAATTCAACTCAGAAAAAAAAAATTGAAGCACCGAGCTAATTATAGCCTCTGATAGTCTTCTCAGCATATGAAATGTATATGCTGATAATTAATCTGATGCATGAGGTGAATCTGTACCAAAAAAAAAAAAAAAGAAAAAAAAAAGAAAGGAAAGCTAATACGATGCACATAATTCCTACCAATTCTGAAGCAACAGAAGCTCCTACCCCGTTTCATGAAGGTTCAAGACATTTTAAAACATACTCAAACTAGTGTAAATTGATTCTCTGCTTTTGGTGTAAATTCAAAAAGAAGTTATTTCTGAGATTTAAGATTAATGCTAAGTTAGAAACAAAAACACGAAGGTCACAGAACTGCCGAAGGGTAAATATAGTAAAGGACAGGCAGCTGCAGCTCTAATTATCCATTAATCTTACATATTCTATACATGAGCACAGAAACACTCAATTGCTGCTGTATTTAGAAAACTACAATAAAGGACATAATTAGAAAGAGAAGAGGAAGGTAACTTAAGCATGCCTGCAAAACACATAATTTTCAGAAAATGCTAAAACATACAATAGATTTCCTACTTGAATCTCTCAAATGGAGACTTCTCCTTGAAATCTTGAATTACAAGAGATGTACCTTTCTCCATAATATTAAGAACAATTACCCGTGACTCTTTTTTAATCTAGAAAAGTGGGCAGATGCCATTTTCACATTATTTTATAGATTTATTGCAATAGAGATAAGTAAATTGATTGGTCAAGAGATTGCCTTTATATTAGGATAAAGACCATAATTAAAGAGAAACCTCTGTGAAGGGTCGAAATAATCAAGATAGTATCTTCGTTAATATATTTTGGAAACAAAACCAACAGCACTGCCAGTATGCCATTACGCTCTCCTACATAAATACCCTAATTCTCTATCTCTGAAGCCCATTGGTATAAAGTGTCAGGATTTCCATATTTCCATATTTAATGTATTCTAAAAGTCCAAATTAAAATATATTAATATTTCATAAGACTATATACATATACATATATGTATATACACACATATATTGTGCATGTGTGTGTATACCCTCCCGGGGCATACTTTTTTTGTTCCAAGTAGCTTACTTTGTGTCTGTGTTTTTAACCTTTTTCAAGTCACTAATAAGCACTAGTCCATTATAAGTATGCAAACGCTCAATGCCCCAGTAACTAATCTAGGCTGAACTTGACACTGTATCTACAACCATATAAAAAAACTGTTTTAAGTCTGTCCTATTTGTAAGTATTAAAAGATTTTTTCCTCAGGTTTTTGACCAAGTTGATAGCCTCGCACATAATAGGTGCTCAACAAAGGCTGTGGAGGGAAGAAATGCATATGCCGACAAGGACAAGTCACCTTCCTCATTAAAATATTCCCCTGTTACATGTTTCATTCTTCCCTTCTAGACTCTCCCCTTTACAACTAACTACCTTTCTGATTAGTTAGTGGATTCCACCCTGTATACTTTACTACATGTACTTTATTTTTTAAAAATTTTTTAATGTTTTATTTATTTCTGAGAGAGAGAGAGAGAGAGAGAGAGAGACAACATAAGCAGGGGAGGGCCAGAGAGAGAGAGAAACACAGAATCTGAAGCAGACTCCAGGCTCTGAGCTGGCTGTCAGCACAGAGCTCGACGCGGGGCTCAACCCCACGAACCGCGAGATCATGACCTGAGCTGAAGTCGGACGTTTAACCAACTGAGCCACCCAGGCGCCCCTACATGTACTTTAATAGGTATTCCTTGGACTAAAAAAAAAAAAAAAGGCAAAAAAAAACCCCCAAAACAAATAAAGCCCAAACCCTACCTGATAAAAGTGACTTAAGCTGTGCTGTTAATACCAACTAAGAACTAGGTGATCCTTAGCTGTTCAGACTATTGTGTCATTGTGTATGCTCTCCCTTGCTAAAAGGCGCACGCATCAGGAAAATCCAGAGGAAAGGGACATCATCGACTTATTTATCAGGCAACACTGTAGATTTAGATATTTCTTACCATTTCATTTTTTTATTAAATAAAATAGATTTTAAGTTTCAAACTTTATTTTAATCCCATTGATGAGAATATTCTAGAAACTGGAGAACAAGTATCAAAAGAATAGATTGTGTAATTTTTAGCTTTCATAGCATGGTAATACTAAACCACCATTTTGACCCTGAGGAAATACACAGCCTAGTAAAAGGGTCAGGTTTCCACACAGCACCAAGAGGCCTGTGGAAGCCAGAATGACCTTGGCTTGACCTCCAGCTCTGGCAGGTACATGCTGCTGAACTCACATCTCTATTTCCTCACCTATAAAACAGACAGATAAGTAAACCTCAACTGTTTATAATGAGAGTTGTAAGGGTAATATATATAGTTTAATCCAGGTTTCTATATATGCTAGATTCCTTGACTTTGACCCTTCCTCATTAAACAAATTCTATAGTTCACCGCTTTCTTAAACAAGATATACATCATGAAATTAATTTTCCTTGACTTTTCTAGCTGAGGGGTTATAATACATTATTTTATCCATATAGCCATAAAAAGGCTTTGTTTACATTAAAAAAAGTTTTACTCTTACAGAATACACAAAATGTTTGCTTTCATCACTTATGAGAAAGCTTTTCTAAACTATATTTGTTCTTTTCCTTATTTTAATGAAAGTATAAACTTAATAACTGAATAGATGCATATTTATTTGAAAAAGGACATAAAAACACAAAGAAGAAAATTAAAATCACCATAATCTTCTCACTCAGAGATAATTACTGCTAATTTGGGGGGCTTTATGTTCATCCTATGTATTTGAATGAGATAATTGCCTGTGTGCTGCTCTGTAACCTTTTTACACTCATTAATATTTTATGAACAATTTGAATGCCTGAATAGTCTTAAATTGTCTACATAATATATAATATGAAGATCATTTTAGTGGCTGCATATTATTTTATCTCATGGATATACCATAAATTATTTAATCAAACCCATATTGTTAAACATTTAGGATTGCTGTTGATTTTAAGCAAGACGGAATATAATGAACCAGCAAGTACTCATGATTTAGCTTCAAGGATTGTCCACTGTGGTCAGTCTAAATTCCATCTATACTCTCTCCTATCCCCCATCTTACCTTTAAAGGATAAGAACTCTTGCAAAACATAATCACAATACCATTGTCACACCTCAAAAAATTTAAAATAATTTTTGTATCAAGTATCTAAGCAGTGCTTTCTCTCTCTCTCTCTCTCTCTCTCTCTCTCTGTCTCCCTCCTTTTTTCTAACCCTTCTTCCTCCCTTCCTCTCCAAATTGATCAACATCCAAATAAGATCCCTACACTGTAAATAGCCAATAATTCTCTTTAATCAGGAGATTCCTCTCCTTTCTCTTTTTATTCCCTTGCAATTTATTTTGGGGGAAAATAAGATAAAGAAAAAATAGTTCAATGGATCTTTGGTATTTCTCATGTCCTGAATTTTGCTGATGGCACCATCATTTATAACATTTAGTGTGTTCCTCTGTTGACTGTATTCACTAGAAATTGGTACTTAGATCTAGAATTTTGCTCAGATTCAGGTTCCACGTTTTGGCAATATTTCACAGGTAGTATGGTCTGCTTCCCTCAGGAGGCACATCGTGTTGGGTTGTCAGTCTTTTCTGATGTTAGCAGATCCATTACTGATCCATTAACCGGCATTATGAAATAGTGATATTCTAATTATAATAGTGTTCCTAATGTGGATAACATGCAATAGCTAAAATCTTATACCTAATTTTTGTTATCATCTATGTGCATATGTTTATACTTAAGAAAAACTCCTAAAACTAAAATATCTGAATTAAAGTAAATTTACATTTCAAATTTACATTCCCCTAAATGTCATCTAACTGCCCTCCAGGAAAGTTGCGCTAACTTGCATCTCACTGTCGGGTGATTACTGTCTTAAACATTTATGTTAATGTGTTTGCCAAGAATGAGAAATTCAATGCAGTTTCCTTTGCAGTGTTTTGCTTACCAAGAGGATAGAGCACGTTTTCCTTACATTTAAATTTGTATTTCTTTTGTTGTAAATTGTAAGCTCTTGTTATTTGATTATTTTTCTTTTATGTATCTATCTTCTTTCTTCTTTTATCCTCCCCAGGTTCTTCGATATACTTTGTTAAGTATTAAAGAAACATGACCTTTGATGAGGAGTAGCACTACTGTCATATATAAAGACACCACGTAGCTGTAATATCCAATTGTTCTCCACGCTGAGGCATTTGACTAGCCTAACACTTTATGCGAGAGCCTCATCAAAAACTGCAGAGCAGACATCTTCAAAACAACCTGAAGATGACTGGCATACTATTTTAGGAATGGTGTTTTAGTTCATTTCAATGAGGGGCTGAGGTAACTGGCCTGGTCTGCCATTGTTCTCGGCAAATGATTTTCATTTCAGTTTGTTTTCCTCTTATAATTTAACATTATGCCAATTCATTTTCTAGTAGCATTGTGCTTAAAGAACACAGAACATCATACTAAGTAGAGGAGGCTCTACAAAAATCCCTGTACCCCATATAGAAATTATAGATTCATCCGTCTCCTGACTTTGCAAGCATTCTGCACCCTCCTCCAAAGAATGAAAAGCAGTATTTTCATTATGATGCATTTAAAAGGTAGTAAGGAGCCCATCACGTTGAATCACTATAAATAGAAAGGTAGACTATTGCCATTTAAGAGTCCTGTACCTACACATGCCACATATCTTAGAACAGGCCCTCATGCTGGAAACAGTCATGCTCATTCAGTCCAATTTTTTAAATACATTCCTCTGAAAAGCAGAATTACAAATTATTGAAAGTCTAGGGCTGACACATTAGAATTTATGCCATCTAAGCCCAGATCTAAAATGAGAAACCATAATGCTATTTAGGAAGAGAGGTGGACTGTTAAGCCTACCTGGTGGGCAAAATACTTAGAACTGAAGAGGTAGCCAAAAGATAAGTTAGGTCTTGGCCACATCAGCATTGATTTGTGTATTCAAAGCATGCAAATGAATGAATTAGGGCTCACTCCAATTAGTTCCAATGGTAGCCTGGTTTTCCAATTTCAAGCATACATAATGGAGATAATATAGCATCTCATGAAAGACGGAAAAGGGAGAAAAGAAGGAAAGCAAGGACAGAGGGAGGAAGGGAAGGAAGAAAGGAAAACAACTTGCTAAAAATATTCTTCTTTCATTTCATAGAAAACCAACTTTTAATTATTATGAAATGACCGCAATGCTCCCTTTCACTAAACTCAGCCCCATAATTGTCTTTTCAGTTAAACTCCAGACAAGTCCATCTTGGAATTTTAAGATAATCCCCTTTTAGTGCTTAAATAAACCAAAATACCCCACATTAATTTCCTTAATAGATTACTGAAAATGTAATCAGGGGTGCCTGGGTGGCTCAGTCAGTTAAGCATCCAACTTTGGCCAGGTGATGATCTTGCGGTTCATGAGTTGGAGGCTGGCATCAGGCTCTGTGCTGACAGCTCAGAGCCTGGAGCCTGCTTCAGATTCTGTGTATGTTTCTGTCTCTCTCTCTGCCCCTCCCCCACTTATGCTCTGTCTGTCTCTCTCTCAAAAAACAATAAACATTACAAATTTTTAAAATGTGATCAAAATTCTAAACTACTTCAAGGCAGAAAGTAAAAAAATTTCACCTCTTTAGAAATGAAAAATCTTCCTCAAAGATGGTTATTTTGAATCATGTGTATCAACACTGACAAGGAAGGCCTAACTGTGTGGCCTGGGCATTGTTTGAGCTTGCTGAACTCCGTAAGAGAGCGAGTAGGCCTCCCTCATAGAACTACTTTAAAGATTAAAAAACGGAATACATATAGATCCTTCATACAGTGACTGACAGAGATGTGCTCAGTGAACATTAGTTACTGCTGTCATCATGATGATGATCACCACCATTATATCATCAAAGTGTCCGGAAAGTTTTACATCAAAATATGTGACCTACAGAAAAAGTTCTGCTCCTCTGGTGAGGGTGCCTTATTATACAATATATCTGTAGCTTGAATAGTAGCCACCTAGTGAAATCAGTAGTTCCTAATGGTGGGCGGAGGTTGTGAATTTGCCCCCCAGGAAATATTTGTCAGTGTCTGGAGACATTTCTGTTTGTCAAAAAGCAGTGGTTGCCTGTTCAGGAGCTGTTGTTACTGTTGCCTAGTGGGTAGAGGCCAGGGACGCCGCTAACCATCCCACGGTGCACAGGACAACTCACAACAATGGGCAACGATTGGAGCCCAGATGTTAACAGTGCTGAGGGTCAGAACTATGGAGCGTCGTCAACATATTCTGAACAAACACCTCCACAAAGAAATATTCAGGCTCGTGCCAAAACCAAAGTTTTGAAATCTCCCATGTATCTGCCTAATTTATATTTAACTACAAACAGGATTCTGAAACAGTTCACACAAATTCACTCGATGAAATAGGATGGACAAGACCCGCTGCCTCAAAAAGCTTACTTTTCATGTTCAGTTATGTTGCCCACTTAAAGAGCCATGAACGTATCATTCTTATCTGCATGCTCCGGTAGCTTATTTATACCTTTTGGGGGAAATTCTTAAGAGGGACTCGCAATCCCTTACATTTGATGTTGTAATTTCTAAAATGTATATTTATATCTTAATGATTTAAGTAGGAGAAAAAGGACACTGTGAATACATGTTCGCCATATGGAAAAGACAATGAGGTTTAGTAATTAAAACTGCAAAGGTAAAGAACTATGCAGTAATTAGAACACTGATTAATCAGCTGATAATTTTATCTTGATTAATGCTGCTAGTTTCTCTTCTTACTGACCTAGGAAAGGTAGGTTTAGACCAATTAAATATAAATTATTCTCCTTTTTTTACATTCTGGGCAGCTTCCAGTACTCTAAGTCATACTACGTTTAAGAAGTACTATTGAAATGCTTTTACTAAATTGGGCAGCTCAACAAAAGATGGAATTGGGTTTATGTTCCAAATATGCTCATGCTTTTATCTAAGGCTAAATTACACAGAACTGTTTTATTTCAATATTATCCCAAGGAATACTAAAATTCAGGTAAATTGCTATTTGAAAAAAAAAAACCCTCTGATAACATTCAAACAGTTAAAGAAAAACAACTAAATTTTACTAAGTATAATATGAGAAATCAGAAGAACTGAAGTTGAATATAACTAGTTATTACAAATAGGGCCTCACTTCTTTAAGTTTATTTATTTATTTTGGAAAGACAGAAAGAGCATGAGCAGGGGAAGGGAGCAGAGAGAGAGAATCCCAAGCAGGTTCCACACCAGCAGTGCAGAGCCCGACATGGGGCTCAAACTCACGAAACTGTGAAATCATGATCTGAGGCGAAATCAAGAGTTGGAGACTCAACCGACTGACGCATCCTGGGCCTTACTTCTTGGAATCCTGTGGCTGTGCTAGTTAACAGGACACATGATTCCAGTATTAGGGGGACACCATCGCTAATTCTTAGCCAATCAGTTTTCTTTTTTTCAATTATTATTATTTTTTTCAGGTTTATTGAGATATAATGGATATACAGCATTGTGTAAATTTTAGGTATACAACAATACGATTTTATATATGTATGTATTGTAAAATGGTTATCACAATAAGGCTCATTAACACACATTTACTAATGTGTGTGTGTGTGTGTGTGTGTGTGGTAAAAACTTTTAAGGCCTATTCTCTAGCAAATTTCAAGTTTACAATACAATATTGTTAATTATAGTCACCATGCTGTATATCAGATCCCCAGGACTTATTTATCTTATAACTAGAAGTTTGTATCCTTTGGCCACCTTCCTCCATTTCACCCACCCTCACTCCTCACCAGCAACTGCAAATCTACTCTCGATTTCTGTGAGTTCAGTTTTTAAGTTGTCACATATAAGAAAGATCAGACAGCATTTGTCTTTCTCTGGCTTATTTCACTTAGCACAATGCCTTCAAGGTCTATTCATGTTGTTGCAAACGGCACAATTTTCCCCTTTTCCCCCACGATTGAATAATATTCCATTGTGTATATATACCACATTTTATTTATCCATTCATCTGTTGAAAGATATTTCGGTTGTTTCAATGTCTTGGCTACTGTAAATAATACTGCAACGAACGTGGCAGTGCTATAGTAATATAGCGATTTCAGTTTCCTTCGATATACACACACAGGTGGGATTTCTGGATTATAAAGTGTAGTTCTATTTTTAATTTCTTGAGGAAACACCATACTGTTTTCCATAGTGGCTACACTACTTTACATTCTCACCAATAGTGCATAATGGTTCCCTTTCTCCACAACCTCACCAGCACCTGTTACCTCTTTATTTTTTATTTTTTAAATTTTTTATGTTTATCTATTTTTGAGAGAGCCAGTGATCAAGAGAGCACAAGCAGGGGAGGGGCAGAGAGAAAGATAAACAGAGAACCCCGAGCAGGCTCCACGCTGTCAGTGTGGAGCCCAATGAGGGGCTCAAATCCACAAACTACAAAAAGATCATGTCCTGAGCCAAAATTAAGAATCAGATGCTTAACCAACTGAGCCACCAGGTGCCCCAGAACTTGTTATCTCTTACCTTTTTTTATAGTAAGCATTCTAACAGGTGTGGTGTGATATCTCATTGTGGCTTTGATTTGCATTTCCCTGATGATTAGTGATGTTGAGCACCTTTTCATGAACCTATTGGTCATTAATACATCTTCTTTGGAAAAATGTCTACTCAGGCCCTTTGGCCATTTTTAAATAGGAATTTTTGTTTTTGTTTTTGTGCTTGCGGTGTAAGAGTTCCTTACCTGTTTTAGATGTTAACCTCTATTGGTATGTGGTTTGCAAATATTTTTGCCCATTCTGTAGGTGGCTTTTTCATTTTGTCAATCATTTCTTTTGCTGTGCAGATATTTTTTAGTTTAATGTAGTCCCACTTGGTTTTTAGTAGCATTACCTCCTTCAGTGATTTTTTTCCTTAGCTTGTAAATTTTTATCTTTGTTGCTTGTGCTTTTTTTTTTTAATGTTTTATTTATTTCTAGGAGAGAGAGAGAGAGAGACAGCGTGAGCAGGGGAGGGTCAGAGAGAGAGGGAGTCACAGACTGAAACAGGCTCCAGGCTCTGAGCTGGCAGTCAGCACAGAACCCAACGCGGGGCTTGAACCCACGAATCGTGAGATCATGACCTAAGCGAAAGTCGGATGCCTAACCGACTAAGCCACCCAGGCACCCCTGTTGCTTGTGCTTTTGGTGTCATATCCAAAAAAAAAAAAAATGCATTGCCAAGACCCAATGTTAAGGATTATTTCCTCCTATGTCTTCTTCTAGTAGTTTCACAGTTTGCCAATCAGTTTTCTAGAATATATCCCCTAATACAAATAAAGACAGCAACTTTTTAAGCTTCCCGAATTCCACAGGAAGTGTATCAGTAGACTTTATTTTTTTTTAATTTGAAAAGATCTATAAAAAATAGCCAGAAGGACTAAATGAAAATAATTTAGAAAAATCTTTCTTCTTTACACTTAAAATGACTTCACTCCAGTGACAAAGAAATTTTTATGAAGCCCAGCATATAATATTCCCTACCTCTCTAAAATACTTGAAATATTCATGATCAAACAACAAAGCTAAACCAAAGACTCTCCAGTTTAAATTTTGGTATGTTTCTATTTCTAAAAAGTCCAGGTTATATATGGTAGCTAACTCAATGTCCAAGATATCAAATAATTCTAAAGTTGTTGACTAGAGAGATAATAATATTCATTTAAAAATATTCATTGAACTTCCTCACCAGAAACTATCATTATCAACACCAATCCTCACAATTTATTATGTACTTGATATATACTATGCTTTATAAAGATGGTTTCACTTAATTCTCACTACGGAGCAGGCCCCATTATTCCCATTTACTATTAAAGAAACGAGACTTTAGAGCAGTGAATCAATTTGTCTGTAAGTACAGCTAGAAAGGAGTAGTTTGCAAGGTTCTATGGGACAGATAAAAGTGAACAAGACAAACCATGTGTTGAGTGATTACACGTCTACTAGGGTAAAACAGATGTGTAATAACTCCAACTCAAACTGTGGTAACTATTTACTTAGGGCACCTAGCCAGACCTAGCAATTAAAGTAAAGTCACCATTTCAGATGAGGATCTTAAAAACTGTTTTTCTGCCATAGACCATGTTGATGTCCTTAGAATACTATAAAGCCACATATTCACAAAAGAATATGAGAATCGACTACATTTAACCAAAGTAGATATAAACCAGGATGGACAGAGATGTTAGAGAGAAAGAACAACCAAAGTTTTTTTGATGTCCTCCACTAGGTGTTCATTATTGTGTCCCATAAGATAATATAGATGACAAATATGCTTCCCTCAACTTGGGTATCTTCTCATCTTACTAGGAAATAGTTCTGAAATCTCTGAACTAGACACTGGACACCATTAAGTGAAATAGAGTAAATCACCACACTGAATATCATTGCAGCCTGTGGTTTGCTGGATCTTGTCCTCATCTTCTAATGCAGGATCCAATCTCGTCTATCTAGAAGGTCTTGATAGATTAATTTGTGGGAAACCAATCTCCTCCATCTTTTCCTATTCTATGCCTGCCCCATGTATGTGTCTGGTCCCAGTCTCCAGCCACTGCTCAGGTTGTAAAGGTGACAAAGGGGCTAGCTTTCCATAGATGAATGCCTTTATAGGCTCCAGTTTGAGAAGAAAATGTCAAGGCAGGGCTATGGGTACTCATAATCTTAGAAAACTGTGTGTGTGTGTGTGTATGTGTGTGTGCATGTGTGTATACACATGTGTATGTTTCTTCAAGGCACAGGCAGATAGTTATAATAAAAATAGCTGCCAGGGACACCTGATTGGCCCAGTTAGTGGAGCATGCAACTCTTGATCTCAGGGTTGTAAGTCTGAGCCCTCCATTGGGTATAGACGATTACTTTAAAAGCTTTCAAAAATAAATAGAAAATAAAATAAAATAGGAACAGCCACCAAAAAAACCCTACCAGCATCACCTAACATTATTTGAGCATTTACTATGACCCAGGCACTACAACAAAAGTTGATATTTATTGCATTACTAATCCTCAAACAGTCCAATGAGTTAGGGTCTATTTTAGCCTCATTCCATAGATGAAGATTGAGCCACTCAGCATAAAAAAGTAGAATGAAGGAGATACATGGGAATTGGAATCAGGGAGTCTGACTCCACCATTCTGGCTCTGACTTTTGGTTGTTTGGCCTCTGGAATTCAGCAGCATAAATTCCATATGAGAAAAGAGAATGACTTACCTATTTTATAGGCAAGCATGTATTCAATAGGCATATCTTTCTGTCTTGTGGTGGTTTAAACAGCAAGTGACTAATTTTATTTTTTTAAGTTTATTTTTATTTATTTTGAAAGAGAGATAGAGAGAAAGCAAGCAGGGGAAGAACAGAGAGAGAGAGAGACAGAGACAGAGACAGAGAGGGAGAGAAAGAGAATCCCAAGGAGGTCCTGCACTATCAGCACAGAGACAGGCGTGGGGCTCGATCCCACGAACCTGAGCCAAAATGAAGAGTCAGTTGCCTAACCAACGGAGCCACCGGCACCCTGGCTAACTTAAGTTTTGATATGCTTTCCTGCTTATAACTATATAAAATGCACCCAGGTGCCCAGTGAGATTTCATAGTCATTGTTAATTATAGCAAGGCTGATACAGGAAATGTTTGCTCAATTAAATGCTTAAATATGAGATGACTTTAAAAATAATGTCTTGGATTTTTTCCCACTCAATAAGTCTACCCACTCAATAAGTCTATTTAATATACTTAGCCTCCTGCCAACCTCTATTCAAGTTGCGTTGCTTTATACTAATAATGTTTTATTCATTCTCTTATTTGATAATGTCTCCTAGATATAAGATGCAGAAATGAATGAAGTAGTCCTTATAGACTTTACAAGCTAATTACCGGGGATAAAAACTAAAATTAATAGTATAGTGGAAAACCAGAGGTCTTACACTTGTTAGTTCTCTATAGAAGTTAGGGAGCTGACGTTTGACTGGAAATACATAAACAGGATTTCAACTTCAGACAGTTATTGAAATAATAATAATATTATTATTAACTATAACAATAGTTAATACATGCAACATGTGTATAGCACTTAGTAATTAACTAAATACTCATTTTGTTCCTTACAACATTCCTATGAGTTACATCAAATTGTCATCCCTGTGTTACAGGGGAGAAAAATCATTGCTCAAAGAAATTGGGTTTCTTGCCCAAGCCTACTGAATGAGCAGTAAAGCTAAGACTGAAAATTTAGGCTGTGGTGGAAAACCAAGCAAATAAAATACTAACCAAACTATAAACACGTGCACGCACGCGCGCGCGCGCACACACACACACACACACACACAAGATTATACAGTAAAGAACCAGGTAAACAAAGCCCATTTTTTCTACAATATTTACTTCTGTCTATGAGGTGGGCCATATAGAATATATAGCCCTTTATGTGAGCCTTGATGATTGAGTAAACTTTCAAAAAAATATAGGTAGGGGACTGAGAGAGGCAAAACCTTGTTACAACACTGCAAACCAAGACAAGATGTGAAGCCATGAAAGTACCTGGTATGTTTAGGGAATTATAACTGTTGAGGACAACTGAAGATGTGTTAAATGAAAGTTGGGACCATATATGAAAGGATCTATTGGCACCGTGCAATAAATACTTACTTAACTGGCTATACCATTAAAAGTTTTAAATGGGAGAAGGAAATGTTGTATAATATGAATAATATTGTATGAAATTAACACTACCAGCAGGAGGAAGAAAAGATTAGCAACGCAAAAGTTCTACAATTTGCTTATTTCCTCTCAACTTCATGGTGTGTGTGTGTGTGTGTGTGTGTGTGTGTGGAGTAGTTAATTCAATATGGGTAAAGGAGAGAGTGATTGAAAGACAAATGTAGAAGAGGAGAACAGAAAGGTAGAATAGGTCAAGATTCTCCAAGGCATGGAGTGCTAATAATTTAACCACTTTTTTTGTAGGCAGACTTTCTGGCACTTATGATCAAATATTATGTTATTTGCTCATTTATATTTCCCTCACTCTCTAACATTTTGGATCATTGGATTGTATACGTTGAAAACAAACAGTAAATGTTTTTTTTATCAAGTAATTGTTAACTTATTAATTTAGTTTGTCTAAGACTAAATCTAATAAAAACAACAGAAATCTGGTAAAAAAATAACCTTCATGTTCTACCAAGTCAGACAATAAAAAAGATAGATTTTAAAGGAAAACAGGATGGTAGACACCTACAACTATACTCCATGAAGCCTATAACAAGAACACAACAATAGCAAGAAAAAAATCCTAATTTTTAAAATATTTGCATAGCTTAAAAGACAGGTTAATAATACATAAATATACTATGATAAATATGGGACTTTATGTTTATATAATTATGGGTTAAAAAAATGTAGCATGGTAGGAAGGAGTTTAAGGGAATGTTGCTAAAATACGTTAAAAAAAAATAAAGAATGCGCACAGGAGAAATACTCAATTAGCTCACCCAAGGCAGAGCACATGGTCACACTGAGCCAGGGAAAGAGCCTATAGCCAGTGGGCACCGTAGACAGTACCCTTCCTCCATGCCTGACACTCTCTACTATGTTTATGCGTTGAATCTTGGCACAAAATATTAATTGCACTAAGCCCATGTAATTTCCATTCTAAATAGATATCATTGCATGTTTACAAATTGTTTAAGAGCTAATTAATGTTACAGAAGCACATATATAGCAGAAGAGGCTATAACAGGAATTATTAACTCCTGTAAAATCAACTAAGCAGTTCCTTTTCTCCTTTTATTAAAATTA